ATACCTGGAGAAGTATTGTCATTGATCCCTTTTCGAGTATTAACAATTTCCTCCGTTTTAATGGGCGCAACCAAATTGATTCTCTGCTCCAAAGACAACTGAACTCCTTTTCTCATGGACACAATATCAATTCCTCTAAGATTTGAAGCAACTATACCAACCAAATTGTTATAAAATTTGAGCACTTCCTCTTCAATATCTTTTTGGTTAGATAAAATCTCCTCAATTTCAGTTTTCAAAGATAAGATTTGCTTTTGAACTCTTTTACTTTTCAACATGGCATAGAAAAAAAGCTGAATTTCTATCTCCATGCTTAAGCCAATCTATCTTCACTCGTTGTTTCAAGAGTTGATCTTCAATGTTGTTCAAATAAATGACGTTTTCAATACAACTTTTAGTCACTATGATTTTCTCTCTATTCATTTTGTCCTGAGCAAGGTTGTGTTAAGCTACTTTTAACTCCTCTCTAGCATCCTCCACTTGCTTCTTTATGCCATAAAAAATTTACTTTTCTCTTAATATCTGGTTGAAGTCTCATAAGCTTTCTCTAAAGGGCTCCCATCTCATTTCCTCTCACTGATTGGATCCAATTCAAATTCACCATTTCAGTGAATCCCTTTATGGAAGTAACAAGATTTTGAAATTTGAAGTAACTTCTGTTGGGCTTCTTAATCTTTTGATCCATTAGACCAAGAAATGCATGATCAGATACACCATTGTCCATAACTTTAAGAAGACTCTAAGCATGTAACTGATGCCATTTCAAGTTAGAAAACAATTTGTCAATCTTAGAGTACATTGCAAGTAAGTTGATTACCAATGCTCTCTTTATCATGTAAACTAGTTCTTCTTATCATGCTATCCAAGTCCCTATATTTAGCTTCATGAACAATGGCTTCTCCCAAACGATTCTGTACATGGAGAACTTTGTTAAAGTCCTCCATTAAGAACCAAGGCTCTGAGCTGTTAGGTTGCAGCTTCTCAATATCTTGCCATAAAATTTCCTCAACTCCAAGGTGTTAAACGCATATATTGCAGTGCACCACATATTGAAGTCTCAATTCAAAGAGTATTCCAGAATGGACATATTGAGCACATCAACTAATCTTACTAATCTTCACCTTATTAGTATCCCACATCACCCATATTCTACCGTTATTGTGCTCAGTGTAATTGTCTAAAAAAGACCATCGAGGGACAAAATTATTTCTAATATTTATAGACTTAGTTTCCTTAACTCTAGTTTCCACCAAAATGACAATAATAGGGTTCATGCTATTGAGGCAGGAGAAAACCTCTCCGCATTTTCCAATATTATTTATCCCCCTTGTGTTCAAAGCAATAATCATTATCCTTTCTCTATGGAAACTAGTGGATCATTCAAAATCCCTAGTGTCTCAAAACCATTTTGACACACAATACCTGCTACAAAGTTCTCTTTTGTGTTGGCCTTTCCTTTCCCATTCTAGTTGCTTTCTACTTCTGTCCATAAAGTGGAACCTATGTCTTGATTCACTTGAGTTGTTACATGTTCCAAGTTATTTGGATTTTCTTGAACAACTTCTTTTTCCTTCCATTGTGTCGCTATGTGAAAAATGACACAGAGTCGCCACCAGATTTTATTTATCCCAAGGAAGGAAAGGGAAATAATAATAAAACCTTTAGGGAAAGAACATGGTCATCGCAACCAAATTTTAGGGTTCGGGAGTCGGTTATGCGAGGGGAAGATATTAACACCCCTCACATCCATCGTATTCGGTAGGAACCTTAAGTGGTTAAGCTTGAATGGGTGTTTTGATCTAAACGTTTGCTTGCTTAAAAGAAAAGAGGGGTTGATTTTTTATTAGATTGCTCGCCAAGGATTGTGGCACTTGTGCCTACGTATCCTCACTTAAAAGAAGTGAAGAATCAGAGCTCCATAGTTCGGAGGCTTGTGAAATGGTTGTTTGTTGGTTGATTTTATACCTTGAAAAAGGGTTTTCTGATTGATGCCCTAAGGTGAAAAGAAGTTTGATGAGTTGATGTTATTTTTAAGTTTTTGAGAAGAAATTGTTTTTAATTAGGATCACACTAAAGACTTTGAATAGAGATGAATGTTTCGAATAACCAAGTCGAGCGTCTTGTATTCAAAACATTCGGAACGAGTGTAGGAGGATTCCATTCTCATTCCTTCTCCACCACTTTAAAGCTCATGGCGAGTAACCTTAATTGTATCTTTATTGTATTTTAATTTTTTTATGAGAAAAATACCACTTGATGTTGGATCAAGGGTTTTATTGCTTGTAAAAATATTTGAAGTGATGCGAACAAGGTCGATGGCGATGCACAAGGCAATCGACTTACAAGGTTGAAAGTGACTCGATAAAATCAAGAGTTTATCTTTGAAAATAGTTTTTGGAACCGAAAGTAAAAAATCAATAACTCCTTGAATTTTTTTTTGAAGAAAAACTAAAAAAACTAAGGGAAGTTTGCTGTGCGAACCCTGTAGCGAAGCTACCCAGAAAACAACAAGAAGTTCGTTGTGCGAACTTCCCAGCGAACGTGCACTATTCATAAACAGAAGCGAAAGGCAGTGAAGTTCACTGTGCGAACCTTGCAGCGAAGCTGCCCAGAAAAAAACATCAAGAAGTTCGTTGTTCGAACTCCCTAGCGAACGTAAACAGAGGCAAAAATAGCCAACGTTCGCAGTGCGAAGGTGCTAGCGAACAACTAGTTGGCTAAAAACAAAGAAAAACTGACATTTTGAGTGCCACGAACCGATGTTCGCTAGGCGAAGGAGATGTTCGCAGTGCAAACATGACAGGAAAATGAGTATCTTTCAACTCATTTCACTATGAGGACTAAACTATGTTCTTTCTTTTTCTTTTTGTTTTTTTTTACAACATTTCTTGGTCACTCTTGAGATCATATTACAACATACAACACAAACATCACAAAAATAAAATATGCAAAATGTAAAGAGATAAGAGTTTGAGAGGAAGGATACCTAAGAGCTACTATCTTCCTTCACCAATGGCCTTTGTTGGATGTACTCTATGATCTTCCTCCTTCTTCTGGTTTTCTGTCCCTCTCTTGTTCTCTCAATGGCTAGTGAATGCTCTCCATGTTTCTCTCCTTTTTTCTGTTTTTTTCTCTCAATCCCTTTTTTCCTGATTTTTCTCTCTGTGTTAATGTGTTCCTCCTCCCCCTTTCTACTGCTATTGTCCTTCTTATTCCCAAAACATTAGGGTTTTCCCTCCTTTCAAAATCTCACATTTTTCATTGAGAAATGTCTCTTACCACTTTTTTGATGTCACTCTCTTTCTTTCCATTTTCATATGTGCTTTGTTGTATTTTTCTGCACCATTGCTAGATTTTGTCTTATTAAAAATGGTCCCAAGCATGCTTGATGTCAAATTTTGAATTTGAGTATGTGCTGATTTTGTGATGCATCAAATACCTTCCTTTTGAATTATGAGGTGGCAACATGAGTGTGACAAATTTGTTGTGTTCCCTTTTTTTGTTCACATTGGATCATGAATTAGTTCCTTAGATTTTGTGACATGAGTTGTTTGGTTATGAGTTATTTCTAGCTTGAGATATGAATGGGGCATGTATGGGGGCTGTTTTGGAATAACTTGAAAATGTCTTGAAATTGCCCATGGATAAGCACAAATGGTCTTGATTTTGAAATGTTCCAATATTGCATTAAACCTTGATTGTTTTCCTAGGATGTTTGTAGGCATAATGAGGAACATGTGGACTTGATGGGGCATGAAAGGTACCATAGCATGAAGTTGATTAGAAACCTGAATTAAGATTAGAAATAGCTTAATTTTCTAAGCATTACTTAGAGTTAGAAACTTTGTAACAAATGTGACATTCTTGTAATGTCATGAAATTTCCCTTTGTAATATTCTTGAATCTAATCTTGTATTCATGAATCTTGAATTTAGAATGATGGATCTCCCTTATGCCATTGAACTTGAAATGGATGAATGCTTGAATTATGAACTTGTGATCTTGACTCATGTCTTGCAAATTTGAATTCCACTTGAACATAGAATTTGAAACAAAGTTGGATGAAGAAATCTTGAATTAGGCCTTGCAATTCATGTTCATTAGGAATATTGATCTTGAATATCCTAATATTTTTCAAGTAACTTCTCCTTGAAGGAATCTACATGAGTAGACTTTCCAACTTGAACCAAACCTTAGATGATGAACCCTTTCTTCCATGTGGTCCATGATAGGCAATTTATCTTATTTGGAATGGAAGACAACGAACCGATCCAATCCTTACCTTGTGAGCCCACATGCTCGACATGTAATAGAAAGATGTATGATATGACGAACATAGGGCATGAAAGGATAATGGTGAAAATGAGGGTGTGACACATTGTTTCGCCACTTTACTTTTCTCATTGTTGCACCAATGCCTAATCCTTTGACAATTTTTTGCAATAAAGGGGCTTCCCCTCATACTCTAATGTCTGTTGGATTTTGTTCCATTCGTGTTATTTTATAGTGATGGTTTCCTTTTGCTTCTAAGTGATGTCCATTTCTACAAGGATTCTCGCATACAAAATATGAAACTTATTCGCTGTGCACTCATCTGTGAACAACGGATTTCCCAATGCACTCCCTATTTTTCCTAGACTTTTAGGGCCCCAGAAATGAAGAGGGAGGCGAAGAAGCTTGACCCATATGGGGAGAGTTCTGAGCATGTCTCTCTGAAAGTTGAAATTAGGCTTCCAATCCTTGAGGATCATTGGCATATTGTAAATCGTATGAGGGTCTTTCATTTGCACCATCTCTTTGTCAGCAAACAATTTGAATCTTAAGATGAAATATCCTTCTTCATGGTAAAACATTTAAGGGAGTTTAATGAAATTCCAATACCTTGACATAGTTTGTTTTACTGCACTCATACTCAAATCCTTCCCCAACACATACATGACTAGTGAAGCTTCCCAGTATTTTATCTCAGTTTCGACATCATCCTCGTCGATTTCTACTTCCTACTCTCCTTCAATAATTTTTGGTGCGACAAAATCTATATTCATAGCATTTGCTGGGATGCGGTTTCCACTTATTATGTCGACCCATAGCTCGGTATTTCTTTCCTCCTTATGGATACTCTTTTCTTCTTCTTCTAGAGAATGATTCTTTACTAGGGTTTGCGCAATAACCTCCCCCTCACTACTTTCCTCACCCTGACCATTTTCGATATCATTACCATCTCCCTTCGTACTTGATTCTAGAATTTCAACTGTGAACATAGTGAAAGCACTCGAAGTTGTCACCTTGTTCTTCTTCGGCTGACCCCTTTCTTTCATCATCGCAGATCCACAAGACAACACGAATCTACCCAATCTGATCCCTACTCCGAAGAGCAGGGTTTTAAACCATCTCAGGTGTTGATTATGTTGTCAAACCCTAATAGATTGGCGGTCACCGAAAATTTATGCCTCTCACTGGTAATCGCAGGGTTGTCAGAAATCGCTGGAGACTCAAATTGCTAAAACAAATCTAATTTTAGGTTATATTCTTTTATTTTCACAAAAACTATTTTATTTTCAAAAAGAAAATATTTTAAAATTTTTGGAATACAAAATATTTTTTTGTAGAAAAAACTATATTTTTTATTTTTATAAAAAATCTTTTTTAAAAAAAATCTTTTTTATTTTTCATAATATAAATTATTTTTTAATTTCCATTTTTTTATTTACACTCAATAGTTTTTTTTAATGGAAAACTTAATCATATAATTAAATCAATTTATGAAAGTAAATTGGTGATAAATCAATTTTAAACTAAATTAAAATTGTTTGAATAAAATAATTCACTTCATTAATCATTGATTCAGTTTTTATGATGCAATATAATTTAATTTAATAATATAATTTGGTTAATCATATTTTTCAATTCCCTGTTACATAAGAGGAACATCACATGATCGCGAAAAGTTCACAAATAAAATAAGTTCAACAAGGCTTTGAGGACTTGTCAAATTAATTTTTTTTGTATTTTCACAAATATTTTTTTGTTTGTATATTTAAGTTCACAAATATTTTTTTTTTGTATATTTAAATTTCTTGTTCAAAATTAATTGTATTTAATGAATTTATTCTAATTAATTTTTGTTTTTTTGTTTTGTTTTTGACTTTTATATTAGGATTTATAGTTCAACCATTTTTATTCAAACATCTCTAAATAAAGTTATCTTACGATTTTTTCTTAATCAATTTATCTTAAACTCATTTTATTTTAAAAGTTAAATTGTAATATGTTATCGGTGCAAATAATAGTTTTTAATAGGTTTTTAAAAGATTATTTTTTTCGTCCTCTGGTTTCTAATGAAAAGGGATCTTAATAATTTAGAATTTGATAGGAGAGGTCACAAGTCAGGTCAAATATTGTTTTCACTAAATTGAACTTAAAATTTTTTAATTTTTCGTTTTTTAACAGAAGCTCTCGTCTACAACTTGAATCACTTGTTTAGAGAAAATGAATAATATATTGTCGGTATAAATTATTTTTATACTATTAGTTAATGACGATCATATATCATGTTATATTAAACTTATTTTTTAAATTTCTTTTAATTACATGACAGACTGTTGTTTTATCTAATAGATAATATATTAAAATTACACTGTCAATGCATATCCATTAAACCTTACTTTATAATAATTTTTATGAGAATTTAGTTATAATAAATTAGAATTTATTTTTTGAATCCATTTATAATAAATATAAAAAATAATTTTGATGTTCAGTAATTTAACTATCATAATAAAAACTACACATTTTTATAAAAAAATCTTGTAAAATTTAACTTTTATTAGAAGCTATTCAAAATAATTAACCATCATAATTTTATTTTTAATTTTTTTATCAACTATTAAAAGTAGTAGTGAAGGGATGAAAAATTTGAAATAATTTTTTTAAATAAATACTTATGTAAACTATTTTTTTTAAATATCATCTTTTAATATTTTAAATAAATTATCCAAGTTATTTTTAAAAACTGCAATAACATGCTTTAATAAATCCTTTTATGAAACCACTTTTTGCAACTGTAGAATGAAACACACTATTCAAAATAACGCCAATAACTATAGAAAATGAGAGTAGACATATATCGACAAAGAGTTATGAATTTGTAATTATATATAGAAGCTTAGATTAAGATGACAAATCATAATTAAAACTTTTAAGTTAATACATAAATGTTGTTAGTATGTCTTAATCACACTTTGCTTTTTCAAAATATAATTAAAAAAATAACACTATTGCTTAAGACTTAAGTGCAAGAACTTAGCTTACCTAAGGACAAGGACAAATTATGTTTTTCTAAAAATAAAAATAAATTAATGACAATTATTTTATTTGATGGGTGCATTAATTAATTGAAATAATGTGACATCATAGATTGAATGGTTGAGAATGCATATAACAAAATTGTTTTGTTTTCCATTTTATGAAAAGTGCAAACTTATCATGTTGATTGCAAAAATTGATGTATGATTAAGGTTTGTTGCAAGTCTATGAGTTGTTTTATTGTGCTAATTAGGTTATTGTTAGTCTAAGTTCAGTATAACAATTTATACAAAAAAAGAAAGATTAAAAAACTTGCCCTATGTAGAAGAACATTATCACACTGTCCTAATAAAAAGGTGTAATATGCAGTTTCCAATCATGTAGTTTATGGAAAATGCTAATAATGCTTATTTGGTCTGAAATTTGATAGGTTACCAATATTTCTTTTTCATTTTGTAGAATTAAATACTAAATTTTGATTGATTAGATGTGTTCCATTAGGAGTGTAAAAGAGTATTTTCTATTGGGAGTTTGGGAGCGTAAAAAATATCAATGGATCGAAAATCTTAAAACAATAAGATTATAGGTTATCACTCTAATATATCGATCATTTTCTCCATTTTTAATAGATGTGAGATATAACTAGTCACACTTGAATTCTAAAAATCTATTCTACAAATCACTCACATAATTAGCCTTGATCCATACTAGAATTTCACTCTCACTCTTCCGCCGAGTCTAACCATAACATTGATACTATTTGTTGGGTAAGGGTGATAAAACAGATATGTCTTGTCGGGCATACCCATTTTACCTCACGTTTTTGCAGGGAGGGTCAAGGTTTTAAGCTCGCTCCTTCTAATATATCTTCCTCACCCGCCTTGTTTTTTTTGTTTGGAGGCTTTCGTGGCCGTAGACATCAACACAAAATTTTGCAATTTCTAAGGTGTAAGAAGTGCAGTGTTCGTAATACCGTTCCATTCCGTCCCATTTCGTCCTCATTTTTTATGGGATGGGACAAGGTTTTAAGCATACACCCTTAACTATGTCCGCCCCACTCCATTTTTTATAGGGCAGACCTAAACAGAGTGACATGCCCATTTGTCGCCCCTATTGTTGGGGACTCTAGGGAGCACCAAGAGTGTCAATGAGCTAAATGTTCAGGATCCAAGAGACATTGATACTACATATTCCTTCAAAACCTTAAGGATATGAGAGTATGAATCACCTCTCTTATATACCAAACATTTTCTCCATTTCTAGTCGATGTGAGACTTAACCACTCACAATTGAGTACGAACAATCTTCTGCACAAGTGTGAGTCATCCACATTACTAGCATGATCCACACTAGAATTCCACTTCCGCTTTTCCACCAAGCCAAACCTAGGCTCTGATACCACTTGTTGGGGAATTCGGAAAGTGCTGAAAGTGTCATTGAGCTAAATGCTCAGGATCGAAGAGACCTTGAAACCACATATCCACGCAAAAACTTAAGGTTATGAGAGTATGGGTCCATTGTCTTATATCCAACATTTCCACTATTTATAGTCAATGTGAGACTTGACCACTCACACTCAAATTAACACGTATAAAGTAACTTTGATCAATAAAATTCTTCCTTCAAATATCATTTTTGTACAAAGTACAATCTTTTCAATACATGGATATCCATTTAATCCACAATTAAATTATATGTAAAAAATGAGTTTTGTTCATTATGTTTGATCACTGCATTTTAATTTGTGCTAAGAGATTTTTATGACTTGTTGCTTTTATTTTACTGTTTTTAATGTGTTTCCTAAGTTTACTTTATTTATGCTTTTATTTTAATTATGTTAATTATTTTGTGAATAAACGATAATTTTGTTGAAAGCTGTTAAATTCTGGTTTTTTCCTGAATTTAACAGCATGGCCACTTTAGTTGGCTTTTTTTTTATTTTTTATTATTCTCTCAAGTGTATAAATACATTTTGTAATTTCCAATTCCAATTAATGCCAATTTTAATTCATTCAATAATACTCTCTACCCTAATTCTCTTTCTCTCTCAATTTCATCTTCTTCTCCAATTTCTTTTCCACCATTGTTACTACCTTCAATCTCTATTTTTGTATGTTGTTCTAACATTTGGCATCAGGAGCTCCGGTTCTTGATCCTAATCCGCTGAAACAATGGCTACCGTTTCTAATGATCGAATTCCCACCAATCTCCAAATTCTTGATTCGAAGAACTACGACAAATGTGCGAAACAAATGAAGGTTCTGTTTGGTTATCAAGAGGTTCTTGAGATCCTCATCAATGGAGTTACACCGTTAGGGGAAAATGCTACCGAAGCTATTAGGGCTACACACAAGGAAGAAAAGAAGAAGGATTACAAAGCCCTATTCTTGATTCACTATTGTGTTGATAACGACAATTTCGAGAAGGGTGACGATTGTGAATCCGCGAAGCAAGCATGGGAAATCTTGGAGAAAGCATATGCCGGTGCCGTCAAAGCGAAGGTGGTAAGGTTACAAACTTACAAACATCAATTCGAGTTAACACAAATGGAGGACAAAGCAACGATCAACGATTACATTACGCGCATTACCCGGTTAGTTAATCAAATCAAGTCATGTGGCGAAATGATTCTTGAGCACAATGTTGTATCGAAAGTGTTGCGTTCGTTAACATCACGGTTCGATAATATAGTTGTGGCTATTGAAGAGTCAAAGGATCTAACTACTTTGAGCAAGGATGAGTTGCAAAGTTCGTTAGAGGCGCATGAATAAATGGTGAATGAGAGAGGTGCCGACAAAGCCAAAGCGAAGATCGCTTTGCAAGCACGTTTTAATGAGAAGAATAAGAGGTCGAAAGGAAAATTTGCAGCTAGAGGTAAGCCAAATTTTCAGAAGTTTGGTGCAAACGAGTCTCAAAATTCGAAGAATTAAACGGGTGAAAAGGGTGAGAGCAGCTCTAAGGAGAGTGATCATAGCAATGGCATCAAAAGGGATTTGAGTAAAGTGCAATGTTTCAA